ATTGCAGCAAGGACAATTTCAGGTATGTTCTTTGAGTTTTTTTAGAAGTTGGAAATCAAATCTACATTGTCACTTTAGTCTGTAATTTTTTATTTTTTTTTAATCAGGAAGAAAGAAGAAGCCACTAGCAGCTGCCATAAGTTACAAGTGCCACTTACTGCAAGTGCCACACACAGAGGCCCAACTAAGAAAAGTTCAGGCTATTGTGAGTGCTGCCACGTGGTCTACAAAGACCAGTATGAGGTGAGTCCATTTGGTATTTTGTTTGCAAATATTGAGTGACAGCAAAAAAAATTCTGTAAGATCTTTTAATATCAGTTACTACAAGGCACTGTTTAATATGCAATCTTTGATTTAACTTTTGACATCAAATTCTCTTTCATTTTTAGCACTTGCAGTCTGAAATGCATCGTTCTTTCATTCAAAATGACAGTAACTATGCTGTAGTAGACCAACTAACGGCTGCCATGGTTGCTAGCTTTGTTTGTAATCCAAATCTAGAAGTGGATCCAACGCTGATCAAGTAAGGGGCAATTATACAAATGCTTTCTTTGCTTTGAAGCAGTTCACGTGATATGTTGACTTTGTCTTGTTGACAGTACGACTTTTTCTCAGTATTCATTGTGTTCATCATTCCCCTCAGGTCATCGACAGGCTTCTCTCAATTACAATTGTGTAATTTAACTGAGATGGTGCAGAATACTGTCAGCGAGAATGAAAAATCTCTTCAGTCTCCACTGGTTCAAGAATGTAATCGTCTACTGGCAATTACTGACAACAGAGGAAACCTCTTTCCTAAACCTATCCAGAGTCCACCTTGTCAGCAAAATGCAACCTCGCATCCTACAATGCAAAATAACTCTCCTGATCCTCTTGGCAATGTCAATTTAGGCCTTTACATCAGCTGCACCACAAATGTTCAGGACTTTCGATCTGGTGTTCTCTGCATGGATATAGTCTCACATCACATTCCTCCAAAATCCCAGTCAATAGAGAAGAAACCCAAAAGCCTTTCTTCTGTCATACTTTCAGAAGCTCCATCTAAAATGCTCACTCTAAGCTCTTCCGGAGACAACAAAATCCCATGCATCATCAAGGTTCAAGGTTTAAAAATGTGCTCAAACAGCCCTAAGATGCTACTCCAGCGAGGTGAAGATGATAATTCTGAAAGTTGTGGCCAGTATGTGTTGGACCATAGAAAGTTGCCTTCAACAAAACAGTCACTGAAATCAGCCCAAGATATTTTTGGGACTCCAGAGTTAGGCATCTCTTACTTTTCATTACCACATATTTTACCATTTCCACACTTGTCAGATTACCCATTTTCTATAGTTAACTTAAAAAAGCGCTGTAGGTCCTTCACTCCAAGTCCAAAACTTGCCAAGAGAAGAAAGATGAATCAAAATGAAAAGCCAAACCCAATTCAGGGGGTTTGCAGTGTTTCCTGGATAAGACAGTACTCATCTGTACTTTCCACCATGCCATGTTTACCGGTCTCCAAGGTGGGTTTTACAACAGAGATGAATAATCGAACTGGAGGTAGCATACTAGCAACCCATGAATCATCACTGAATGAGTCATCTCTTGTGAATAAGATCCTAACGCAGCCTTCCCTAAAATATTTTACTGCCAGTACCCACTGTATGCCTCAAGTTGACCAACAGGACAATGCTGCAAATCAACCCTGTGTTCATGTTAATCAGTCACACAGATTGTCTCCAATCAAAGATCCAGTGGAATCCCGAATAACCACTTACTCATCTGATTTGGACCCTCCTCAGTTGGTTCCATTTTTCCACGAAGACCATCAACTCCAGCGCCATCAGCTTCATGATCCTCCAGAACTGTTACCCTTTTTTTGCCATACACCGGAAGATACTTTCCGTACATCAGTCAGTAAAGCTTCAAACAGCTCATTCCTGTCACACTCCGGAGCCTCTGTTTGCATTGAATCTGCTCTCCTCCCTAACCTCACGTGGTCCACGGCCTCTTCTGAGTCAGATTGGGATTCTGGCCTGTTGTCATGGTTTGCGGCTGGAGTTCCTCTTCAGAATAAAGGGGCACATGATGACCTGGGTCTGTTATTACAAAAGCCACACACTGGCATGCAGGATGGGAGCTATACATCACGATTGTGCTCCATACTGCAACCCTCTTGATTCATATCATTGGGATTGAAGTTGCACCAATCCAACAATTGCGACTGTTGATGAATTCAATCCTAAAGCATTTCTTCAGTCTCCATTCTTAGTAGTCCTCATTTTTCACTTCTACAATTAAATTAAGATGACTACCACCATTACTTGTGAAATAAGACTAATGAATGAATTGTTGTTTGTTTTTCATGAAGAAGATTTTATTATAGAGGTGTGCCTAACTCTGCAGCTAATGGATAATTAATTTCCTCTTTTTCGCATATGTTCTATTCATGAAGACTGCTCAAACTATTTTTTTTTCTGGATAATGAAACCATCTTGTATTACATCAATATTGATTTATATATTTTTGTTAAGAATATTGAACATTAAGATTCTTGAACGGTGTTTGTCTCTCATTATGCAATATCTCGCCAAAATCAAGAAAACAATTCGTTTTAATTAACAGCTGGCAAGTATTTCATGCTTTTCTCTTCGAGTGACCTCCATGACTTCTCTTATGGCTCTCTCTTGCCCTGAGTGTTGACCATGACTTTTCAGCGGAAATATCCGGGAACATGTGCTGGTATTGAGAATTTAATGAGGCTTTGCTGGAGGGGCATTATCGAATTAGTTTAAGTGCTGTGTCTGGCCTCTCTCCAGTTTAGAGGCAGTGTTGATGGTAGAACAATGCCATGGTGGTTTTTGGAGAACATGCAGGATAGGATGCACTCTGAAGGCAAAAATCATTTTTAAAAGACCTTTCAGATTTCCTGTAAATGTGCATCAGTTGATGTGGCGGCATGACCGGTACAGTGGGCAGTGTTTTAATTATTTGATGTCAATTAATGTTTTAAGGCATCATTTAGTGACAGAACATTCCTATTGCAGAAGTTCTGAAAGGGGTAAAGAGCTTGTACCACTGATGTCCATGTAGAATCACTAAAATCTTGTGCTTGGAGGATTTTCCATAAACACTGGAAATTAGCTTTATTAAGGCCTTAGGACAGTAATACATGTTTTTAAGACAAAATCCTGAATAAATGTAGAGATTTACAATACATTTTTATTATTATTTTACTCTATCATGAATTATTGTTTTGATATTTGTACAGTTGTATTTCAAAAGCTGTTTACTTCTATTCTAGATGCCAATTTAGCATTGTTGAATTGTGTGCATGCTCATTAAAATTAGCTAAGACAAATGGTCCGTTTGTGTGCTTCTTTAAGCATTGACTTGTTTTGAATTAAGTTATCCCCTAACCTTTGCTAGTCTGTTTCATCTTTCTTTTTCATGTGATATTGTAATAATATGGTATATTTTTAAATACATTTGAAGTAATTCATTAATTCTATGGGATGCTGCATCACATAATGAAATGCAACCAAATCAATGTTTTTAAACATTTATTTTTTTGTCTCACTGTTTGATCGAACAATGAAAAGTTAAGACATTCTTTTTCTAACTACTACTCAAAACATACAATGCTATACTTTTAAAATGACATCCATATGGCATACTCCTTCACAAACTATACTTTAAAAATGTGTTTAAAAATATAAGTAGGTAGCATGTCATTAATCCATTCTGCCATATTCGGATTTAAAAATAAATATATAAAAAATGATGCTACATCAGCAGTTTCTCTCCCATCTGATTAATGTCTTTATCATGTTCCCTGAATAGTGTGCCACGTGCTGTTCACTGTGAATGCTTTAGAGTTGGAGATGGGCATCATGGTTTTATGAGTAAAGATTAGTACAGATCGATTTAGTCCTCAGGCATGAGAGATATTGCTGAGGACGGGAATATTTGATATGCTTTTATCTCAGATGACGTGGAGTTCTCGCTCCAGGACACACACACACACACACATTTATCTCACTTTTAAACCACTTACAAAATCATACAATGCGCGCTGTTGTGCTTGACAGCTGTATTGTAATTAATTGATTGTAATTGATGATATATATCGGCCTATAGCCTATTTTATTTAAAATCACAATAATATTTAATTGTAATATGTTTTATTTTGCAGTTAATGCACACTGTAAAAAAAAATCTGTAGTTTTTACAAAATCATTTTGGCAGCTGTGGTTGCCAGAATAATTTTGTAAAAAATACAGAAAAACTGTAAACACATTTACGGCCCAAAACTGTAAATTTCACAGTATAAAGCTAATTTACAAACAAGAAAATCTGAATGTAAACCAGTAAATTCAACAATGTACACTGCTATTAAAATCTGTTTTGTACCTTTAACATACTGACAACCACCATAATAATGCAGGTGGTAAAAGAGAGAGCCACATGAAGAATCAAAGCTCATCACAAGTAGCTTCGCCACAAGCTGAAGTATATACTAATATATAGAAGGTGCACAGAGTCATTCATGCAAACACAAAACACCATCATGGTAACACATATGATACTTAAATAATGCGTTAAACTTTCATTAAACAACAGAAGATGTAACATAAAGCCCAAATATACATAACTAATAACAAAAACTATTTAAAAAACATGATTATTTAAACAAAATACTTTCAAATGTGGAGTGTCATGCAGGGAATATCAGTTTACAGTTTTTGACTGTAAATTATACATTGATTTATTTTTACTTCTAAAAACGGTCAAATTAACAGCATTTTACTGTAAAATTACATGAAGTGTCCCTGTATATAGTACGGGAACTTACTGTTAACCTATTAACAGTTTTTTTCGTAGCGTTTTTACAAAATGTTACAGTTAAAATTACACTTATTTTTTACAGTGCAGCTATAGGCTAGCCTACTGCATTTTATGTGAATGTTGTGTATTTTAATATGTGTCTTTTTTAAACGTGATATTTGTTCCAGGTTACAGAAGTGGAATTTCTGATGGTGCATGTGAAGGGGAGGAGAGTGGGAGGAGGTGCGGGTGGGAGTCCCGCAGAAGGAGCTTTTCAATCCCAACATGAATTCCACCCGCAGTCTCTGACCGACAACACACGAGCCATATAGGCAGACATCACGGCGCCTCGCGCAAGCGGATACTTTCTGAAGTCTTTCCCATCAGCGTTTGCTTGTTTTCCACGGATGCCCTTAACGTCTTCCTCGTGACTTCAGCATCGCCGCGGAACGGGATGAGGCGGTAAATGTCGCGTTTCGCATCGTTTCGCTCCGGTTGAAGCCGCAGGAGTATGTGATCATGTTGGCGACGCGCTGCCTCCTCCTGTGGGCTGCGGTCACCGCGCGACTCGCCGTGACAGGTGAGCGACGAACGCAGCGTTGGGAGCGGGTTCGTGATATTAGCGCAAGCTCCATCGGTGTAGCTATTTATGCATAATGTGCGCCAACAGGTGCAACGATTTCTTCATTTTACGGATTGCCCCGTTTTCTGTCACGGGCATGGCTGTGAATTTTCCGCGTCGCGCCAGAATACGCAGTGATGCCGCAGGCTAGCTAGAGTGTAGTTGCTGTAAACGCATAGGAATGACTAAAACACAGAATCATGGCTTTGACGATTGTCTTACAGTTTTTATGCATGTGTCCTATATTGAAAGGCTGGGGCAGCAGCATCAAGCGGGACGGAGCGGAACGGGGACGCGAACAGAACGCGTATTTGGAGGAGCTCACGCAGCCTCAGCGGCTGCTGCAGCGGACTGACGCGGAGGAGGAGCTGCCGCACGGACACTTGGGTACTCTAGTAAAGATTGATGCTGATGGAGCGCATGTGAGTGACTCTCCACTGATGGCATGAAATCAAAATCGACCCCTTTTACTTTCTTAATTCACATTTTTCTTGTCTTATAATGAACGATACATGTATATATATATATATATATATATATATATATATAAAACAGGCATCTATTTTCTTCCTAAACTTTCATCATAATATAATAACTTGCTCCCTATCTGGCTGATGTCACCAAGCTCTTCTATTTTCCATCCCCTCCCTTCCAACTACCTGGCGTGTCTGAATTTGTGTGCCATTGAGTATTACTGCATTTGATGAAAACTTCTTGCGTGTTAATTATACATGAAGTAGACTACATTTGCCACTCTGGCATTGTCATGTGATCTACAAATATTCTTTCTCACTTTGAAACATATAAAATTAAGGATGTTCAATGGGTTGTGAAAACTCAGTTTGAAAGCTTTTAGTGTGTTAATGAAATATTTAGCTTATTTTGATGCATCTGGCTGCCGATAACAGTGTAATATTCTCAGCTCTTTGCTCAGCTCTCCATCTGGGCCTGCACCAGATGCATTCCAAGGTTCCACATGTACAAAAATCTCAGAATCTTCCAAATACTATGGCATCTAAATGCACTAAATAAATCAAATGGTATAACCTATTGGTGTAATTGCCATACATCTCCCTCTGATATTCAGATTAATAATGTACTGTTTTTTAATTATTATTTTTTTTATTGATCCCTAAATCATTGCATTTGACTCCCCATATAATGAACATGTGCTTTCAGGCTTGATTGATTAACAATTTTCTTCCAAACCTCATGTGTCATGAAGACTGCTGACTAGAGCTGAGAGAGAATTGGCACTGAGCCCTTTTCAGAGTGGTAAAGTGCACATTAAAGGTTCTACTTGTAAATATATACTTTAATGTAATATTGGCTTCTTGTTGTAGAGGAGGGTGGAATATTAACAGTTGGGGGAAGAGTAAAAGGAGCTGTGTTGGTATAGATCTGTAAAGGGTTAATTCACACAAAAATGATAATTCTGTCATTGTTTACTTCATCTTGATTCCTGAAACCTGAGAGATTTCTGTCCCTCTATTAAAAGTCCATGTAAGCAAAAACATAATATGAACTGAGTGGTCTTCTGAAGGAAGCTCAACCATACTTGTTTGACACATGAAAACAAACCTCATTGGTTCTTATAGGGTGTATGTTTGAGCTTCCATTTACCATATTTGATATGCGCTATGCTTGTGCATAGATCAGTGTTTTATATGTGAATAAAAGCCTAAATTAAATAATCATATAAAGTGATTGAAGACTTGGATTAAACCACTTGATTCATATGGATTACATTTACAGTGTTTTTATGGACTTTTTGAATTATCAGCATTTTGGTTACATTGACGTTCAATTGAGGTACAGAAATCTGGTTTAATAATGATCTTTAAAAAAGCATCATATGACCCCTTTAAGACTGTCTTCATTTGTGTTTCGAAGATGAACAAGAGTCTTTTTGGTTTAGAATGGCAGAGTGAGTAAATGATGAGATAATTTTCATTTTTGATTTTAATGATAATATTCATTTTTGATATATTATATATATATACTGTAAGTTTCATAATACTGTTAAGCATTCCATGAACAATGAAATACTTTTATAAACATAAGTTCGTTTTACCCATCCACCATTTTCACTGCCAGAAATATGTGCAAAAACTGTACTTTTAGGGGTTCAACAGTTCCCTTGTAAGGACATCTTTGTATCTTATCTTAATATTAGTGGAATTGTAATATACTGTATACCTTTAAGGTATTATGAATTTTTCAGAGATAAATATGCCACTTAGAGGGTATTGACAACCAGTTTTTGCACATTTTTGTTTGATGATTTTTGACTGAACTTGTCACAGTGGCTTGATTGCTCTTTGTAATTTGATCTAAATTATATATTTTAGATGACAGCATCATTTTGCTACTTACCTTTTAAAACAGTCTTTGCATCGGGAGTGCACATATTGTTTTGTTCATATTGTTTAGTAAACTGAAATTGTCTGGTTTTGGTCTGGCCGTCATGATGCAGTGAAATCCAGGCAGTCGAGTAAAATGATTATGCACTGTAAAATCCAATAGTTTACCTTACTTAGATTTAATTAGTTATCTTTACTTAGTTGTTATACTTACTAGGTTTTATTAAGTTCCAGCAACTTTCAAGGCAAATAAAACCATTTACTTACTGTTTTGAGTGACACTTACTTAAAATATTCAAGTAGCCACAAAGGAACCAATGACATTAATAAACCAGTGAGAGGCAGCAGTGCACTAATATGTTGCTAATGTGCAACACAACAGCAGAAGAAGAAGAAAAGAAAAAGAGTTTTAATAGACTTTTCACCCATTTCCTCCATGTCCGCAGTCATCTTTCACTAGTTGCATTCACTCGTTTCCCAAAGTCATCTTGAATGTTGAATTTTCAATACAACTGAAATATTTGAGAGAACATCATATAAGCTGACTTCATATTCAATTGATGTTGATTTTCCTAAAATGTGTGTGTTTTTTAAAACCATTATAGTGATTAGCGTTCCCTTTGGTTGGGCACTTGGAACTTCATTTATGTTATTACCATATTGTTCTCGTTAATACAGCAATGCATCATGAAGTCAGAGTTATTTCTTTTAAAGAGAAGAAAAGTAATAAATAGCTTGCTTTAAAAAAGTGACTTATCTTATTAAAGCTTTAGTGTTTTGTTTTGTGTGTGAGTTTATTAATGAACATTTTCCACCCCATACAGTTTCAATTTTCATAAATACCTCGAGATGCTTTTAATTGGGCTTATGTAATCCTTAAATAGTGTGTGGTAATATGCTGAAGTCACACACAGACTTAAACATTCAACACGTGAACCACAACAATGGTAACAATTAAATTAAATTTATTTTCATTAATTGTAACAATAACCATTTTATTTGCTCTTTTTGTTGTGCTACTACTGACACAAGACAGCAAATAAAATTGGCAAATTAAGTCAACAACTGTAAATCAAAGCAACTGCATAATTTATTCTGCCGCAATGCACTCTGGGAGTCAGTGAGTAGCTATACTAAGTCATGAGTAAACTTAAATGAAAGGATCAAGTACACCCTACAGTTCTTTTTTAGTTACTAGAACTCTCGTGTAAGTAAACTATACTAACTAAGCATTTGTCAGTACAACATACTATTCCTATTTCACTTTACTGAGTTTTTTCAAGGCAATCGGTTTGCATGCTTTTTTTAAGTAAGCCCAACTAATTAGATTTTACAGTGTGTCAGAGATACATTTTAGAAGAAGGAATAACAAATTTATTAAATAAAAATGATTAATACAATAAATTAATAAAGTTAACCAAATTAAGATCTATCTTAATGAAAAATTTATACTAAAGTGCAGAGTTTTCCAAATTATTATATCTAAGGAATGAAGCAGTGAATATCAGAAGAAAAGCTCACAAGAAGTAAGATATAGGGGAAAAGTAAAGACTGAAGAGTAGAGAAGAAGTAAGCGTAGGCACAAGGAATACATATATGCAGGAAACTGACATCCTCCCAAACTGGTGTTTATGTCTAATAAGAAAAGGTCAAATAGATTTATCCATTATGTCACTCATCCGTTATGTCATATGTTGTTGTGACTATAGGTCAGATCAAGCTAGGTCATCATGACCAGTCAAATGTTGAGGTTAAAAATAGATGTGTGGCTAGACATGGATTTCACACCTTTAGAATAAATATAGCAAAATAAGCACTTTCAAATATCATATTTTGCATATTACCAAAACACAGTTTCTGGAAAAAGAACATCTAGTACCATTGGTGGCTAATTCTGAGAAGCATTATTACTCAGGCAGTAGTTGGAAGATGTCCAATATCTAACAAAACACCAGTGAAGAAGATATAACTTTCAAACATTTATAAAATATGCATAGCACACATATTGTTGGAGAATATGATATGAAAATCAAGGAAAATATAACAACATTGATTATTTGAATACAGCAAACATTGATTTGTACTGTTATTGTTTATTGCCGTTATTGCTGTTGCTGATGTTATTGGTTACTATTAGTATCATGCATGTAATTCATGCATGCATTCACCCAAAAATCAAAATGTTCTTATTCTCAGGCTATCCAAGATTGTGTTTCTTCAAACACAAATTTAGCATTACATCACTTGGGTCCTCTGCAGTGAATGGGTGCCATCAGAATGAGAGTTCAAACAGCTGGTAAACATATCACAATAACCTTATGAAGTGAAAAGCTGTGTCTTTGTAATAAATTCATTGTTAAGACGTTTTAGGACGTTTTAACTTCAAACCGTTGCTTCTGGCTGCAAGTCTTCTTGGCATAATTTTGTTTTCTCCAGTGAAAAAGTCATATCGTCTGAATCAGGAGAGAAACATGCACAGATCAAGCACTGTTTACAAGTGAAAACAGTCCAAAACAGTTCAAAACAAATATATCAGTGAATTTTGATTTGAGAGGACAACAGGGGACAGACTTTTTCACGGGAGGAAGTGTTCTTTATGGATTATGGACTATTTTGGCCAGAAGTGACTGTTTAAAGTTAAAATGCCTTAATTAATGATGGATTTGTTTCTTGCGAACACACAGCTTTTCACGTCACAAGACATTCATTGATTGACTGGAGACTTGCCGACTACTCAAGGATTATTGTGTGATGTTTTTATCAGCTGTTTGGACTCTCCATCGGATCCATTGGTAAGCATGTGATGTAATACAAAATTTCTGCAAATCTTTATATTTGATTGCATTTTTGGGTCCTTTAAAGTTCGATCACACTAGCAAAATTTGGTGAAATTTCATGGCAAAAAGGTCCGTTGTCTGTTGTCAATAATCTTTTGCCGTCAAGTGAAATCCGATTCCTATTGGATTTCACCTGTGAAAATTCACTGAACAACAGTAAATGTGACCGCACCTTTAGTACGCAAGGGGAGTGGGGTTCAAATCCTGGTTTAACATATTTAATTTTATATTTTTCTATTATAAACCAAGTGAAATTGCAGCTGCATGGATTCTGTGAGCATTATATACAATGATGAATGGATTTAACCCATCAACTCCACAAGGGTAAATGGTACCTTATTGATGCTTTTGGAAGCATGTTTTGTGAATCAGAAGGTGTTCTTATAGTTTATCTGAAAAACATGCAGAGTTCCTGTGTTTACACTGTTGTACTCAACCACCCAGTCAGCCAACCAAACAGGCATTTTCACATATGAATAAATATAGAATATCTCATTAAATGCTAAAACTCTTCAGTGGTCTTGACAAATTAATCTTTTGTAAAATTTTGGTGCCCAGCCACTGGAAAAACTCTGGGAACTGCGGGGAACATGCTGCGAACAAAGAGAGCTCATAAAATATTTTAACTTCAATCAAATTTTTATAGCTGTAATATTCAGGATAATGTACAGTCGTCCGGTTGTTATTGCAAAATTGGCTTTACAATGGGGTCCTGAGCATTTAATTGCTTTAACATAACGTATTGTTTTACACTCTACCCATCCATGTCTGTATTTGATCGAACCTACTGTACAGTACTAGACTGTCGTTTTTGAATGATTTATTCAGTTCAATTAATGAGTGTGGATGCACTCCCCGCTTCTTGCATTGAGGCAGGTATTTGTTTTCGTGCCTTCGACTGCAAGTATTGCAAGGTGATCGCATTTCACACCCACACCGTTCGTCTCCTGTAACCAGGGGTGCAATATATACCACCTGTCTGTCAAAGGCCATTTTATATTCTCATAACCTTGAGCTGCCTCACCTGACACTGGTGTAGAGCACACGACAACCCTACGTGACCATCCCTCACTCGACATCTTCTGTCTGAATCTGTACTGTCACCTATTCCCTCTCTCTCCCTCCACTTTCCTGTCAAAATCTCCACTGTCCTTTCTCATGAAGGCAAAAAAAAGTCAGCTCAGTGAGGAAAACATTTAGGCGGGACTTTGATTTGGAGGGTGAAGTGTGTTGTCTATGCCAAGTGGTTGGAGGGGCTGGTTTGATGATGTCGGTTTAAAACGGAGAAGCTGCAGAGGCAGAGCATGAGAGCAAGTTACATTTTGATTGAAGATTAAAAAGACAAATATTTGTTAGTTGAAAGCCAATTTAGTTGCTGTTGGTTTCTAGTAGTTGCTCTTGTTTTGATGTGGTATCCACTTGTATCAGGGGGCTGCATCTCCCACCAGCAGAATGATCTCTGTCACTAGAAATGGCTAACTCACTGCAAATCACTGACCTCCCGGCAGCATCCAAACTGAAATGAATCCTAAGCAGTGACTGATTTGAACATTCTACATACACAACTCCACTTGATTCAAAATGAGTTAACATTTACATTTACATTTATTAATTTAGCAGATGCTTTTATCCAAAGCAACCTATACACGAGGAATACAAGAAGCAATTTTTTTTTTAGTTTAGCATATTCCCAGCAAAAACGTGTGCTTATTTATACTGAATGTGCACTTACATTTTTTTTATGTACTTGCAGATAATGTAATATTCATGAAATAAAAGCCAAAATTAAGTGTACTTGGAGTACACTTTCATGACTGTACACACTTTTTAGAAAGTGCATTTTTAAAGGGGTCTGATGCTGATATGATGCTGCTAAAAAGAACATTATTTTGTGTATTTGGTGTAATGAAATGTGTTTATGTGGTTTAAGGTTCAAAAAACACATTATTTTCCACATACTGTACATTATTGTTTCTCCTCTATGCCCCGCCTGTCTGAAACGCGTCGATCGTTCTAAAAAAGCAAGGTATGCTGTGATTGGCCAGCTATCCAATGCGTTGTGATTGGCCGAATACCTCAAGCGTGTGACGGAAATGTTACGCCCCTTACCATATTGTGATGATGCCCTGTCAGGCCAGAGCGATGATTCAAAAACATGAAAACCCATTATAAACGAGACATTCGTTGCATCCAGTGGGGACATAATTATGAATTATAATGACTTATACTGTATTTTTACACATTGCGTTGCGTAGAGCATTGCGTTGCGTAGAGTGAGCGGTGGCGGCCTAGAGTGAGCAGAGGCCGGGGGTTAAAGTGAGCAGAGGCAGCGGATTCGACGAAGGAGCATCCGGCGGGCTTGCGGCAACCACATGTGACGACCCCGGGCTGGACTCCGCTTCGTCCAAAAGCCCATCCTGCGATCCACAGAGCAAAGTTGTAGTATTTCCTCAGCAACCAGCACGGATCAGCTCCAGGCATGACGAAGCAGATATCGTCCTCTTTTGGAAGGCGAAACAAAGCAGTTTCGCTTTCACAATGAATCAGACAGTGCCTTCACGACATGGCGGCGGCAACAATAATACTACAGCGAGAATAAAAAAAATTCTGCCTTCTTTCTTTTCGTGAACATTTGGGCGGCGTTATGCAAATCTTCCCACATAGTGATGTAGACATGTGGGGGCATGTTAGAATGAGCCGTTTTAGGTAGGCGTGGCTGACTCTTAACTTTTATAAAGAATATCTCTTTGGATTTGAGACTTTAGTCTTTGCAACTTTACAGATCTTCTTTATGCACCAAGAGCTTGTAACACTCCAAAGAGAAAGGAAATATTGAAATCGCATCATATGACCCCTTTAATAATGTAATATTACAAGTTTTACTTTAAAGTACACTTAAAATCTTGGTTTTAATAATCCTTTGTTATGCTTTAAAGAAGTATGCTTTGTTTGATATGTTGACTAACATACTAAAGCACTTGTAAATATACTAAATTAGATTTTCATCATTACAAATGTGTCATTACAAATATAATTAATGTATGGCAAGTTTCAATAGAAATTACAATAAAGTATATTTTAGTTTACCATAAATACTTGTCAGTAAATTTGATGGTACACTTTATCCATATTTTCACTGTTGTGTGAGTTAAAGGTTTGACATATTGCAAAAGTTGTATTGGACTGAAATGCTAATATTAAAATATTTACCCATTTTTTATTCTATCAATAATAACATTGTTTCATTGATTCAAGCAACATGCTAGATGATGAGTTGGCACTGGTAGAAAACCTTTTTAGCTCCCGTGAGCTCCTTTATGAAAACATGACTGTGTTTATGATTACTACTATATAGCGATTTTCAAAGTGAAGTTGAATGCATAATATTGGCTGTAAAATATGTTTTGTTGATATAGGAGTGGCATGTTTTGATATTTTGTATAGGGTAATTTGGCTGTTTTGGGGCTAATTCTGATTTGCAATTTGCAGACCTAGAAACCCTGTCATATAAACTTAGCAACAACAAAAAAGGTCCCTTTTTCAGGATTCTGTATTTTAAAGTAGTTTTGTAAAATCCAAACAGGCTACAGATCTTATAGAGAAAGTATTTTAAAAGTTTATGTTGTTTATGCTTGTTCAATTAACCATAAACAATTATTGCATATACACATGTGAAACAGTCCTTAAGACAACAGTTTACTGTAGCCAATTGAAGTTACAGTTACTTAGGACAGTGAAGAGACCTTTCTACTGACTCTGAAAAACACCAGAATAAAGATGCCCAGAGTCCCTGCTCAGCTGAGTAAACATGCTATAGTCCTGCTGCAGGGAGGCATGAGGTCTGCATATGTGGCCAGAGCAATAAACTGCAATGTCCGTAATGTAAGGCACCTAAGATGGTGCTACAGAGAGACAGGAAGAAATACAGCTGATTGTCCTTGCTGTGGCAAACCACGTATTCCCCCAGAAATGTCTGGGAACTTGCAAGTGCCTTGGTGGAAGGGTGAGGTAACATCTCACAGAAAGAACTGGAAAATCAGGATGGGTGGGGGGTGATGTCCTGTTCTAAATCCATGGTGATGAGGAATGGCTCATTTTCATAATGTAACCAACCTGTCTGTATCTGTTCGTCTTTCTCTCAGCCCATTCATTTGGCTCAGATCTCATTCCTGGTGACGGCTTTTGGAATCCCATTTGTTCTAGACCTGGAGCTCAATCAGTATGTTCAAAATCCCACTCACTGTAAACTGTAGGATTTAATTGGAAACAATTCTCACTCAGAAATGGCTAGCGAATTTCACAAATAATTACAAGTAACACATTGAATTAAACATTACATTTTAAAGTATAAAGAATGAAATTGTATTTTCTTGTAAAACAATAATCTGTTTTTTTAATTACGATTTCTAAAAATAATTTTAACAGTGCACTAGCAGAAACACAAATGCTCTCATTCCCTCTAAGTAGGGCTCTCTATATTATTGTATTAGTCCCTCTATTTTAATTACGTGTATGTGTGTGTCTGCAGTGATCTTTTGTCGTCTAGCTATGTTGAGCGCCACTTCGATGAGGATGGGCGACCTTTTCAAAGTCTGGTAAGGAAATAATATAACTTTTTCTATTTGTATCCCTTTATATTGATTTTGTTAGAGATTAATGTCATAATGAACAAACATGTTTATTAATATTAGATCCCCTGTTACAAATAATATCTTAACTGTAGTAATATAACCAGGATTATGTACCATAATTCCATGGTAATATGGCTTTATCAGTTTTTGTTAGGGATACATATCATAATGATTTTTGAATAATATAATAAGACATGTAATTAACTAACTCCTTAATAGCTGTAGTTCACTGCCAGTCTTAATGTAAACTTCTGAGGTATCATATGTGGGTCTGGGAATATACCCACTACCTTTTTTAGCACACGACTTTGATGCAGTGAGGCAAAGGAGCCTGGGAAAGCATCCGCCCCTCCTGTTCAGTGTCAGCTGCGTTTGACCAATCGCAACGTTGTTGCTATGACAACTGCTTATAGACAGTTCTAGTCCACTTTGCCCAACTGAGTCAGAGAGAGAGAGAGAGAGAGAGAGAGAGAGAGAGAGAAAGAGGGACACACACACACACACACACACACAC